GAGCAATTAGCAAAGTGAGTGGTCTGTGGGTGCAGAAGCTGGGTCTCCTGTGTTAGCAGAGTGGGGGCTTAGGTAGGGCAGGGCCTGGCAGAACCCTGATCTTACACATCTTCTGATTTCCAGGGGAGGGCTGAGCTCCGGTGGCTCCTCTTCAAGGAGACATGAGTCAAAGAGGACAATGGGTGGGGTCCCTGGCCTTGGAGACCCAGAGGGGAGGCTGGGCTGAGTTGTGCCTCAGAGTCCCATCCCCATGACAGACCCACCCCGCTCTGCCTGCCCCTCTCCACATCCATCTCCCCTGACCGCCATGGGCGGGCTCAGAACAGGATTGTGGTGAGCAGGCTGCTCACAAGTCTGTCTCAGTCCTCAGCCCAGATGCCCAGGGGCCTGCAGGGCTGGGGTGGGCAGTGCACTGGACCTTCAGGAGAGCTGCCAGTGGGAAGAAGAGTTTCACACAGACTCCGTGTTGAACCTGCTGGATCCCACACCTGCTACCAACAGGACAGCCACACAGGGGCCGGGGGTGGCATGTGTCTGTCCCCTGGATGTGGAGGGGCCTGCATAGAGGCTCAGTCCCTAACAAGGTGCCATAGGAGGGCAGAGTGGAAGGAAAGACCAGGACTCTGACTTTGCTGCCCACCTGCCTCTCCCCAGGGCCACCGCCTGTGTGATGGGTACCTGGCCAGATCAGGTACAATATTTGGGCCAGCCCTTCTTTTCCTCCTGGTTCATCATAAGGCAGGACTTGGTGCTGCACAGCCGACCTGCCCCACACACGGTGGGCCTCGTCAGAAGTCTTCGGGTGGAGCTGGTGCATCTAGAGCCCACTGAGGCACAGTGGGAAGGTGAGGGGACTGCAGTCGGGGAAGATGATTGGGGGAGTGAGGCAGGGGTCCAGGGTGTTTCAGGGGCCAGAATTCCCTAAAAGGCATTTGCATCCTTCCTGTCTGTGGAAATGCATGGGGAAGTGAGGTATGTGGGTGAACCTGTCTCTTTAACCTGCTCCAGAACCACCTCCAGAGCTCAAGCTCACTCCAGAGCCAGAGGAAGGGCCTGATCCTGGGCTAGAGCCTGGTCCAGCTGTGGTAATGCTGGAGCCATCTGGACCACCAGCTCTGATCCGAATCCCAACAGCAGAGCCAGCTCCACGCCCAACAACTGACTACCGCAGGGCTGGGACCCCTAAGCACCTTATAAGGGAGGAGAAGCTTA